GGTTGTATGTAAGTTGGAATTTCGTAACCCAGGGACTGCCTCTATATAATATGGTGTTCACTCAATGTCCAAATCATATAACATCCTATTTCACAGAACATATAGTAGACGTTAAGTGACACATGACTGTAATGAGAATGTTGAAACATTTCAAATACGTAACCAATGTCACTGAATAATATGTATATAAATTGTCAAATTGGAACCTAATTTGCTGTGTAAGCGTTCAGCAAAAACACAATAAAATATTATATTTAAAAAAAAAAAAACTCCCATGGCTCTCAGGATGAAAAACTCCTTACCCTGGCAACCAAGGCCCTTCATGATCTGACTCCTACCTACCTTCTCTTAGCACTCCCTGGCCTTTCACTGTCTGGTCACAGCCCCACAGCCTCTTTATCCTCGTCTTCTAGCCTGTGTCATATAGCCCTTCCTGGTTTAAATTTCTTCCTCCAGGAAGTCTTCTCTGATACCCTAGGTTGGTAAGGTGCTCCTCTGTGTTCTCATGGCACCCTACCCTTACCCGTTTAACGGTGCCTAACATTAACGTGATGTCGTGAGGATGTCATCTCTTTCATCAGGCTCCTTGAGGTGCAGAGCAAATCTCATTAATTTCAGTATCAGCAGGATTAAGCCCAGTGTCTGGCCAACAATATGGGGTCACTAAATATTTATAGAAAGAATGAATGTGTCCAGCATGTGTATAGTCATTTTATAGCACTCAACTGGTCTTTCCTAAGGGAGACAGCACAAATATGTGGAGTGGACAGTGGGTGAAGAGTTAAGTGAACAGGAATTTGTACTTCTAGCTCCACCATTAATAAGATGGTGCAGGAGTGGATAACATTTTGTTCTGTTACATACAAGGTTGCTGTGAGCTGGGGCTGAATGGATGTCAACGAACATCCACCGCCACCATTAACAAAACATGACGTTAGATGATAGGATGGAAAATTAAAATTCAGAAAGTCCTTCAAACTAGGGCACAGAATAACTAATATTGAGAATTATT